TTATAAATTAAGCTTTACCTTAAGTATGTATGTACAGGAAAAAACATAGCATATATAGGGTCCAGTACTATCTGAGGCCTCAGGCATCCACTGGGTAAGGAGGGACTACTATAGTAAAGGAATCAAAGGTTCTTTAAAGGTTCTTTTCTGTTAATCTGAGCCTGGTGTTTTTGAGGGCTTGCATCTCTGAGATCATTTTCTATTATTTTTCCCCTATAGTAGTTAATTTATTTACACAATCTCCCCTGGAATAATTTTTAGTAAATTACATTTATGTGCCATCTAAGTTTTTAATTCCTTTTGCACTTAGTTGAGCAAAGAAACTCTCCATGATTCTTTTTTTCTTTTGCATCTGGATACTTGTTCTGATCCTTTTTTTCCCCTTAAATAGGTTAGCGAATGGGCTTATTTAATTGGCAGTTGTTTTGCATCCAAACAACCAGCAGCTCTTGGAGTTTATTAGTTCTACTATTTTTCTGTTTTCTAAATTTTTTCCATTTTAATCTTCTTTCCTCTTGCTTTCTTTCAGTTTATTTCTTTTTTCTAATCTCTTGAACTGGATGCTTAATTTGCTTATTTTCATCCTTTCATATCTATTAATATAATTCCATAATTCTAAATATTCTATAATTCTATGAATTTTTCACTTTACACTGTTTTTGCTATATCCCACAAATATATGGCATTTTTATTATTGTTATTTTCTAGATATTCTACAGTTTCAGCTTAAATTTCCTCTTTTACCCAAAAGTTTAAGTGTCCAGAAATTAAAATAGAAGTTTTAATTTCTATTTTTATTGCATGTGCTTCATGGTATAATACATGGTCAATTCTTAAGAATGTCCTGTGAATTCTTAAAAATTCTTTAAAAAATTCTTTGCTTTCAATGTTCAGAGTTTGAATATATCATCAGATTTACCACACAACATGTTACTTAGATCTTTTTTAGTTATCTTTTATCCACTTGATCTGTTGTGGACTGAGAAAGATGAATTAAGATCTTCTACCATTAGTTATTTTCTGACTATTACTCCTTGTTACAGCTTATGATTTTACTTTTTGATTGTTGATGTAATGTTATTTGGAGCATAAACATCCATAACACTAATATTTTTATTTTGAGTTACATCCTTTACCATTAGAATATGCCAGAAAAATCACAGTAACCAGCAGATCTTAAAACACTAGGTTTCCCTCAACACTAGGTTCTGCCAGTGTAGCACTGTGTACAAACAGCACTGCTTTGGCAGTTACACAGGACTCAAGCGCTCCACCTGTCCTCCAGGTCACCTGGGACACAGCTACCTCTACATGAACTACAACATCTTCCTGGGCCCATTCAGCATTGGTAGTAGCCAAACAAGGAAGTTCTTCTGCAAGTACTTGGGAAGAGGATCCAAAGTTGTGTCACACACATGGGCCAGTAGAGAGGGTGGATTCAGAACTTTCCTGCTTTAAAACTGACCAGACAGCCTTTGCTGTGTGACCTTCTAGTTAGTTTCTTAACTAGAGGTTTATAAACCTCACCCACTATCAGGTGTTTCTTCCTGTAATGCACTAAATTGGGCATATGGTTTGCTCTTATTTGTTAAAAGACCTGAAGCCCCAAGATTCAGTGTAAACATGCAAGTGCCCGTGAGAAAGCAAACACAGTAACTCCTTTTAGTGTCTATTGCTATGGTCTGAATGTTTATGCCACCACCCCCCACCCCGCCCTCCCAGTTCATATGTTGAAATCCTAACCCCCAAGGTGATGGTATTAGGAGGTAGTATCTTTGGGAAGTGATTAGGTCCTGAGTGTGAACTGTGAAAGAGGCCCAAGAGAGACCCCTTGCCCTTTCCACCATGTGAGGACACAGTGAGAAGAAACTATCTATGAACTGGGAAGTGGTGTCTTCCAGACACCAAATATTTGGAGCCTTGATCTTGAAAAGCCTAACCTCCAGAATGAGAAATAAATTTCTGTTATCTAGAAGCTACCCAGCTTATGGTATTTTGTCATAGCAGCCTAAACGGACTAAGACAAGTCCTTAAAATTCATATTACAAAAAATAAATCATTAATGACTGATTAACAAGCGAGGGACTTGAGATTTCAATGCTCTACTTACAAACTATTCTGTCACAAAGGGAGTTGGAAAGAATGAGAATCACAATGTTTTTTATTACACAACTTGGATGATGTGGAATTCTCCACCAAGAGCAATGTCAGCTTATGGGAAAATCAGACAATCACTACCTAGCACTGCATCTCCCTTTGGATCTAGAGGCCCCGCATTAAAGCTAGTGTCCAGTTGGCATGTTTGATATGCACAGTTGGGTTGGATGACTCTGGCACTGACCTGGAAATATTATTTGTTAGCATACCTGGACAGATCCTCTAGAAAAAGGAATGCACTCACTATGATCTCCTTGTACACACTTAATTCTTTCAACTAATAGCCTCTAAATAGTCATAGTTTTTTAGATTTGGAATCTTTAAAAGAGATTCTTCAGGAGCATGTTCAGCCCTGGGTACTGGCACTGAACAAATGGAAGGACACATTCACAGTATGTAATAGATGGATGTTCACCCAAATTTGATCTCAATTCTGAAAATATTGTTGTTTTGCGTTGTTAGTGAACTGGATGTCCTCCCAATAGAACAATTCTTTTCTACTAACAAAATGATTGCTGGTATATATTTTAAAGATTTTTGGTTTAATTTTGTTATCAAATTGAAATGTTATTTTACAGCACTGATTTTTTAAAACAACCTATTCTTAATATGAAATTACCTATGTGGCATCCTGTTACTGTTTAACTTGAGGATTTTGTAATCTTAAAACATTGAGCCACCGCTGCCCTGCCTGAGCCCAACAGATACAAGCACTTATCCCCAGTTCCTGGCACATGCTACTCACTCAATACATGGCCACTGTTACTATTATTGCTATTGCCACAGCTGTAATAATACTTCAGCTTTGCAATTAAAAAAAAAAAAAGAGCCACTGAAATGTTTGCTGCTTTATGTAAAATGCCAATTCAAATTAAATTCCTACAACTAAAAAAAATTCAGTGCTCACCACCAGTCCTTTTACTATGTATAGTTTCCCTAGCCATTGCTTGGTTGCCTTCTAGTAGTTTCTTCAAGAAGGGCTGCTGGTTGGGTATAAAATTCTTTCCTTGAAGTCTTGAACCACTGTCTTCTAGAGTTGCATGTCAATGTTAAGAAGTCTTATACCAACCTGATTACTGTTAAACTTAGAAGTAGCTCAATCTTTTAGTTCAACTGCCCAAAGGATTTTCTTTATCTTTGTCTTCAAGTAACTTCACTCAGATGTCTTTGTGTTGGATCTCTTACACATTTTTTACTGAGACATGATATGTCCTCTTGATCGGAAGATTCAGATCTTTTCCTTTTGGGAAAATCTTCCTTGAATCATATCTTTAAATATTTCCTTTGTGCCATTATATTGGTTTTCTTCTTTGTGAACTCCTAGTATGTGTATGTTGGATCTCCTTTATCTCTCACTACTGTAACTTCTCTCTAATCCTTTTTATCTTTTTATTTCCTTTCATTTTGCTTGGTTTTTTGTTTTGTTTTGGTTTGGTTTCCTGGCCTCTGTCACTTGCCTTATTTTCAGCAATCTATTCTCTCTTGCGCTGCATCCAATTTTGTCTTCATTTCTTATAATGTTTTTATTTTCTATTCTACTTCTTTTGAACTCTGTAGCTTACACTTCATCTTCTGATGTCTTGCCATGTACCTGAACTTATTTCATAAAGACAGTTATTTTATTTTTGTGGTTTTCTTTTATAAAGGCAATTGCTTCATTTTCCTTTTTTTATTCAGCAGGAAACAATCATAATTTCCACATGCTTCATGGCAACAATGTTTATCTTTGAGGTTAAGTATTCTTTATCTCCCTTTTGCTTTTCCATTCCTTCCTCCTTTTTTCCTTGCGTTATTTTAGTACAGATCCCATGCTGTTCCTTTTGGGCAAGCCCAGCTCAGTTGAGATTTTTCTGCACCAGCTATTTGTACAAAGTTTATATAAGGGAAGGACTAGGTGCATATTCCAAGTAACAGGAATTTTCCTTATGACACACGGTTATGTATAAGTCTTTTCAACCTTTAATTCTCCCCAGCCAAAAGAGATATGCACCTCTATAAGTACTTTACCTCTCCTTTACCACTTGAACAGGCTGATTAATGCAAATATGGCCTGATTCCCTGATTAATCTTTCTTCCATTGCCTCTTAGGATCAAAACAGATCCAGAGGTTCTCCCATCACAACCTGTGCATTCTATTCTTATTTGAAAAAAAAAGATTTTGGTTTTGTGCCTCAAGGTACACTCCTCACCTTGGAGAAATATACTGTGCTGATTCTTTCTGAGACCCATACAGCCCAAAGATAAGTCTCTCCATATTTCCTTGGGTACTCCTAAACGATGTCCAGTGCTTCTTGCAGCCACTCATCTGTCCTGTGGCTCATGGTTTCAGAACTTCAGATCTCCTAGTTTTGTCAAAGATGGAGTTTGCATTTCTTTCGTCTATTATCCTTGTTGCTTTGGAGTGGTTTCAGAGACAAGAAGGGGAGAATGTCAAGTATACATTCAATATGGAAGTTCTCAGTAGGAGCAAGTTTTTATTACAACCAGGATCACTGTCACCTTATGATTTTTGAAGCCCCATCATATGTATCTTCTCCCTTATATATGCTGTACACATGCTAGTTATTAGCAACTTGAGTCTTAAAAGGTTAAGTGGCTTATTCAAGGTCTCAGAGCTAGTTAGAACCCAAGTCTCTTGATTCCTGGGCCAGTGCTCTTACCACATTGCACATTCATGCATGCATATGACCACTGAACTACACTGATCTTCCTTCTAAGTATATTTATTGCCAGAAGCTGATCTCTAAGAATCATATTTAGAAAAGAATAGGAAAACATATAACTGACAGATATCAGGAGTGAGGAAGAAAGAAGATCAATAAAAAAGGTTTAGTTCTCATTACCTGGCTTAGTGTCTGTGACTCCTTCCATGAGAACCAATCCTACCGGTCGCTGACAAGCAATGTTGCAGAAGCGGAAATGTAACAGGAAGTTTCGGCCATACTTACGTCTCTCTGTAAACCAGGAAAGGCAACAGTGAAAGAAAGGAAAAGAAGCCATGTGCTGAGACCTCCTTAGTACCAAGAAGCTTCCAGCAAAGGAACACTGAAGAAGTCTGGCTCTGAAGACGAGATTTTTCAATGGCTATGGTTTAAAGTTGTCCATCTCACTAGGTGACCACAGGGAAGTCAGTGAGAAAAACAGAGGGACTCGCTAAGAATTGAGGGGATTACACTTTTTCTTGTGATTGAGGCACCATCTTTCTCCCAAAATGGGCATGAAGACACAGCCAACCAAAAATGTGACATATGCTCACCTGATCTCTTGGGGTGACAGGAGGTGACATATTGACAGCAATCAGTGATGCCCAGGGTGCTGGGCCACAGTGGGGCTTGCAGCTTCCTCTGGTAAAGCTGATGGGAGAAGTCTTCCTGTCCAGATACCTACAAGGAAAGAGCAGAGTGGGAATACGGAAACCAAGACAGAAAAAAAGGAAATAACAGCCCATGTTTTGGGACATGTGGACAAATACAAACACACACATCACACACTACATACATGGTATAGCAAGCCACGTAAGTCTCAAGGGAAGGTTAAAAATAAGGACCTAATTAAAACCATTACTTTTTCACTACAAACAGTGAAATGTCCATGAGACAGGAATGAGGGGTCAGAGTGAGGTATGTGAGTCAGAGAGAATAGAACTGTATGAACATGTGGTCCCCTAAATTTCACTTCAGAAAAATCTACACAATTCTCCACAGGGAATATCAGCTCTCAGGGCCTTTCACTTACAATGGGAAAAGGTTTATCCTGATTTTTGGATCTTCTGGATCAAGGTCTAACATCTTGAGCCTATTATTGGGAAACCACAGGGTCAAACCAAATGGGAAATGCACCAAAGCACTTTACCGTATCTATGTCACCATCCTCGGTCAAAGCCAATGAGCAGCCTGGGAACGGACAGAACGTAGTAGGGGAAACATTCGGCAACATCAGTCATCTGCATATCTCCAACATGTGTAACAAAATTCCCTTTATTTCATTTAACAACAACAAATATTTGAATGCCAACTATGTGCAAGACACTGGCTAAGTGTTGGGAATAGAGGAATGATGGACACAATCCTTCTGCCCTTAGAGGGCATCAATTTTCAATATATCATCTCAAGACAGACAGACCTGGAATTTAATGGCATTTAATAGGTGTGTGACTCTGGGCAAATTAGTTAACTCTCTTGGGTTCAATATCCCGAAATATACTGAAAAATAGGACAATAATACATGTACAATTAATAATCTTAATAATACTCACTACCGATTACAGACTGCTTCCTTTGAACCAGGTACAGGAAAACACTTTTCACGCATTATTTTATTTAATCCACCCCAAACCCCCCAAAACCCCTCTGAAGCAGATCCCATTATATCCTCAATGTACAGATGAGGCTATTTGGGCTTATGAAAGTTAAGTAACTTGCCCAAGGTGTCAGAGCAGGGATTTGAACTCAGGACTGTCTGGTTTCAAAGCCAAGTTCTGTTATGCACTATGTCTAATAGTATCTGTCACATGGTAGGCACTCAATAAGTTCTTTTTCCCACTCCCTGAGCTCCTTGAGTATAGCTCCTTTACTGTACAATGATGCCTTTCTCTGCGCACACGGCAACTAGGACATCATTGGCACTCCACTAACCTCATTAAAATAAAAGCCCAGAGGGCTTGAAAATAAATCAATCATTTTGTGTCTTTTCTCCACTGTGACTTGCCAAAAGTTAAGCCATAAGTTGGATCAGTAGGGGCAAAACAGAGGAACAAAAAGATTAAGGAACATATAAAGAAATCAGCCCAAATTGATAAAGCATAAGATATCTATGCTATCAATATTCAACATTTAAAAGGACTGAGATAGATCTATATGCAAATTGTTGAGTAAAAAAAAAAAAGCTACAAATGACACACACAGTAGTATATCATGGTTATAAAACACACGTGATAGAGTACGTATTGGCTATTATAAGCAATCACAGCATAGTATTTGAGGGCAAGAGCTCTGGTGTCAGACTATCTGGTTACAAATCCTGGTTCCACCACAAATTACCTAGAGCAAATTACTTAACTTCTCTGTGCCTTAGTTTCCTCATTTATAAAATGGAAGCACTGACAGAAATTGTGGAAATTAATTATTTAATACATGAAAAGTACTTAAAATACTCCTGCTACACAGTAAGTGCTTAACAAATGTAATTTTGATTATAACATCATAGGAATATAGATGCCACCATAAATGCATAGAAAATAATCTGGAAAACACCACCAAACTTAGAACAGTCATTACTTGACTCTATAAGGAGAGGGTAAGGAACGTAGGCAACAAAGGCAGCTTTTGCCTTATTTTATGGTGTTCGCATCCTTGCAAAAATGTACTTATGTTACGTGTAAATTAAAAATTAATAATAAAAATTGAAAAGGATTCCAATATACCAAAGGTACTCACAACTTTCTAACTTACAGGCTTGGGCACCAGCTATTCAACATAACAATAAAAAGCTATTTTATGGTGTTCGCATCCTTGCAAAAATGTACTTATGTTACGTGTAAATTAAAAATTAACAATAAAAATTGAAAAGGATTCCAATATACCAAAGGTACTCACAACTTTCTAACTTACAGGCTTGGGCACCAGCTATTCAACATAACAATAAAAAGCAGGAGGGAACCAGAACAGAGGTAACCGAGGTCCCTGCCACAAAAGCAGCACCGGATGCCAACACCCGAATCTCTCCCTAGACTGTGTTCCTACCCCCACAGGGGCCACTCCTATTTCACCTTCCAGGCTGGCATCCCATGGTACTGGAGCTCTCCGTCCCTGATGAAATTGTAGAGAGGTGAATCAGGAACAGAGTTCAGGTCCCCGCACAAGATGATGGGGCAGTGGTTGCCATCTGACAACCTGGCCACCTTGTCCACTTCAGCCAGGAGAATGGCCATCTGGGCCAGCTTGACATCACCCCGGCGTGGGTTATACAGGATATGGGTATTTGCTACACACAGAGGGGCCACTGAGACTTGCCCCAGGCCTTCTGGGACTAGTGGCTGCAGCAACAACACTAAGCCCACGTTGTCCCGATTGAGAAGCTCCAAGCCAGGCCGGAAGTACTCCACGGGGCTGGCGCAGAGTAGACGGAATCTAGTGGGCTTGTAGCAGACAGCACAGCCATCTGTTTTACACCCCGTCCTCCGCTTGTAGAAACAGGTAAAGCCTGCAAGCAAAACCCCACCAAGGGGATAGGTTAGAGTCCTTAAAGCCTGAATCACTTCTAACCAGGGGCAGCAGCCCAGGTGTGTGCACCTAAGGCATGTTCTGCTGCTCAGTAACGGGAGCCCTTCCCCTTGCCACTTCCCTGGTTCTGCAGAGGTTCCCTTATAGTTATAACCAGATGACAGAGGGGCTAGACGGGGAAGGAGGGAGGGAAGGGTATGAAGCAATATAACATGATAGGAAGAGCATGGGATCTAGACTCAGACGTTAGAGTCCTAGTTCCACACCTAACAGCTTTGTAGCTTTGTGATTTTGAGCAAGTAACACAAATTTTCAGAACCTCAGTGTCTTCATCTGTAAGATGGGGATAATAACACTTAGCTTCATTGGGCTGGTTACTTTAAGGATTAAATGGCACTGTGTATCAGAATTGCTTTAAAAACTGCAGAACTCTACTTTTTCTCACCCAAACATGGAAGGAGCTAGCTCACAGGTGAGGCTGAGGGTTGACAAAGACAAAAGAAAAGGTGTCTCCAGAAGAGAGTAGTCAGAGTGGTAGGAAGAAAGGCTGGAAATATGCCAGAGAGCCACATTACCCATCATTCGCAGAGAAGGCTCCAGTTGCTCCCAGTAATGATCTTCCTGGACTTCCTGGAGACACAGGATCTGGGAAATTGACAAGAAGACCAATCATTCCAGAGTGCTGGAATATGACTCCCACTTCAGCAGGCACTGACGCCAGGTGGGAAGCTACTGTGGATCTCAGATAGGGTCACCCTGAAAAGTCTCACAGGGCTGACTCTTCCCAGTCACCAACAGCAAGAACAAGCCCAGACTTAGGCTGAGGAGAACAGATATATGCATGCACTGGATTTTCCTGCTCCTTGAATCCCTTAAGTCTCCCTCCCTGCATAAAGGTGCTGGAAAGAGCACACCGAGGGAGAATCTTTTCAGCATCTGCCCAAAACTCAGTGGCTCCAGGCAGGCAAGCTCCAGCCCTAAGCAGGACTTCAATCATCTGAACAACTATGGGGTTGAACTCATCTTCTAAGAGCACTGGGAAATAGCCCAGCTCCGCGCCAATGCAAGATGGCACTTCCCCCCTTCACTCACATCTGGGTCCCAGTGCTGGAACTCCTGCATGAGGTTGGCAAAGCGATAGTTCCAGTTTAGGATGTCCGGATGGCAATGCAGATAGAGCTCTGAGCTCTGCTGCATCAGGTCCTGAGCTAGGATGTTATAAGACATCAGGGTGAACTGGAACTGAGGGCTGTCCCCTGCCTCCAGGCCCTGAGCATCAGGCTGGCTGGAGAAATCTTCCCATTCTCGCCACAAAATTTCTGCAAAGGCATTAGAGGAAGAGTTTCATGACAAATACATGTTATCCAAAAGCCCCACCATCTCCACTCCTGACTCAGTAATATTATGCCTGAGGTTCCCTTTTCCATTTTCCCTCTCATCCATCCCTCTCTGGTGATTTGAGCAGCACTCTAAGGACATTCGTCAGACTAGACAGTAAGCTCCATAAAGCCAGAGACGATTTTGGCCTGCTCACCACTGCCTCACCAGCACCTAGCAGATACTCAGTAAATATTTATAGGATGACAATTTCTCACTTTTGATAAATCCATGAGTCTCTGAAGAATCACTCAGATGGGTGTGCTTAACATAGTCACCTGAGGCTAAAGACATTTCTAGAGTTAATTTCAGCTTTGGGTGTTTTCTGACCTCTAAACCTGGAAAAGTCTATGTGGCTAGAGATGACAAAGTGTCCTTCATCTTCCCTATGGCACAGGGCAGCATAGTGGATTACAAACCTATATGAGCCACAGAACTCTTTCTTCAAATTTTAATGGACCCCCAATATGTAACACAAATAAAACTGGAGTTATTCTGGTTGAGGTAGAGAGTGGAGGCCCTGAGACTTCTCTACCCCTATCCCCTTCAGAGAAACAGCATTGGAGAATCAGAACTAGGGTCTGGTTTCAGTTCTTTCACTACCTAGCTATATGGACCTTAGGCATGTCCTCCTACCTCTGCACTGTGGTTATTTCATCTGTTAAGACATTGGGCCGGGTGAGATGATACGAAAGACCCCTCTTGATCTGACAATATGAGATTCTCAGAAAAATAGAATCCAGTGGCAGAGCTTCTCACCAGAGAATCTTCCCTTTGGCAATGGCTGTGCCCACCCAAGACAACCTGCTGCCCTGGTTCATTCAGCCAGTTGTCAGACTCACCATGATATGGTATTTCCACTGGGGGAGGCTGCAATTGCCCCAGGCCCTCAAATGGCCAGACAGGAGCCTCTCCCCAGGGCACAGGCTCAGGTGCCATGCTCCAGGCCATCACCGCAGGGTCTTCTCCCCACTGCTCTGCGGCCAGGGCGCCCATTGGGAGGACAGCACAGTCTGCATACTGGGGACCTGTCTGCATAGGGACAGCTGCCCACACAGGGCCCTCGACCTCTGGCAGTGGCTCCTCCCCTAGCACCTCAGGGAAAGGCTCGTCCAGGTTCTCTGCTGCCCGCAGGTCACTCAGCTGCCCGCTGGACCACTTGTCCTTGGAAGCAGCGTCCTGTTCTCCGGGATTATCCATCAGGAGAGCCAGGCTGCTCTGGGCTAGTCCCTTATCTGCAAGGGGACCCTCACTTGCAGTTGAGAGCACCTGGCTTGACCCTTCTTCTCGCCACTGCTGCAGCAGGCCCTCACACTCCTCCTGGTCAGGGCCCCGAGGGGCCATGGCAAAGTTGCCCTCTACCTGGGGGGATGAGCTCTTCGCCAAGACAGCATTTTTTCGACATGTGAAGAAAGCATCTAAGAGAAAAGCCAAAATATCATATTATATAAGAAGACAGCATCACCCAACCCACGTTCTTCTCCCAGCTAGAATGTAAGCCCCATATGAGCAAGAACCATATCCACCTTGCTCATCACTGTACCATCACTGAGTCTGCCCACCTTAATGCCTGGAACATCATCACCATCAGAGTACTTACTATGTGTCAGGCACTATGCTAAGTGCTTTACAAATAGTAGTTAATTTACATGGTAGGGACCTGATAAATATTCAGTGCATGAATGAAAGAATGGCTTTCATTCAATCTAGGACATAGACAGGCACATATAACCATAACCTTTTTATCTGCAGGTTAAGACTACTATTAACATCAACTCTCTGGTTCTAAGAACCACATTACATTGGAACCAGCACTTAACTATGAATCAGAACTGTCTGTTATGGTCTAGCACTGAAATTAACAAAACTAACTGACCTTGAACAATGTCCCTAGTCAGATGGACTCACTCTTCACTGGAAAATGCAGACAAGAGAAGTCTGAACTAGACAGTCTCCAAGAGCTTTTCTAGTTCTATAAATCCCCTAATGTATGAATGCATTTCAAAAGAAAATGTCCTAAAGTAGACAGTCTCAAAATTATACAAATTACTTCTCGGCAAAGTCCCTTGAGACTCTTCTCAAAGCTATTTATTCTACTCACAAAATCTTCAATAAACTTCATTGTCTGCTTTCCCATTCCACAATACATCAGAACCAGTAAGTTAGAACGTGCCAACAATTGACATAAGAGATGGCTGTCATCTCTCTGCTACAGAAGCCACAAATGACAGCCAAAAGGCAAGAAACAGGCGGGAAAGACTCTAAAATTAGAGCCCCCAAACTCCAAGTATTTTGGTGACAGCAAACAACCCCCACACGCTAAATCACTTATTTACAGCACAGGACAAGTAATATGGGCGATGTTGACCCTCAATCACTAGAAACAATTTTTTTTAAGGCAAGAAAAACTTTAACATGATTCAAATATTGAAGGATGGCTCAAATATTATGTTTATGGCCTATGTGAATTTATGTTCCTATAAACCAGTGGTTTTCAACTGGGTTGATTTTGCCCTCAGGGGATGTTGTGAACTGATGGAATCATGTCCCCCAGAATTCATATATTAGAAGCTTAATTCCCACTGTAACTGTTGAGAGTGGGAAATAATTTAAAGGTAGGGACTTAAGCGGTGATTAGATTGTAGGACCATGCCGTAATGAATGGATTAATAATGGTGGTCAGGGTTGTGGTTCTGAGGGCTTCAAAAGAAGAGCATGAGAGGTTAGTCTCTCTCTGCTCTTCCATTTTCTGCCATGTGAGACCCCTGGGTCACCGTCACCATCACCAAGACTCTCACCAGATGTGTTTCCTGGACTTTGGACTTCCCAACCTCTGAAACTGTAAGCAATAAATTTTGTTTTCTTTGTAAATAACCCAGTTTCAGGTATTTTATTATAAGCAACAGAAATGGACTAATACAGGGGACATTTAGCAACATCCACACTGTGATTGTCACAACTGTGGCAGTGCTACTGACTTCTAGTGGTTAGAAGACTGGGATGCTGCTGAACATCCTACAATACACAGGACAAACCCACAACAAATGATCTAGCCCAAAATATCAACAGTGCTGAGACAGAGAAACCCTGCTCTAAACCCATGGGCTAGGTTGCTGGGTTTTAGTCTCATGGACTTGCTAATGATCTGCCCCTTGAAACATCTGTGTGTAGCAGATGGCAGAGGTTCTTTGGTTTTTGGCATGAGGTTATTAGCTTTCAAATTTAGCAGCTTTTTATTGGTGATGGTTTTTCAGCAGCAGGATTTTAAAAAAAAATCTTATCTAGAAAACAAACACACAACTACTTTAATGTGTGGGTGAGAAGGGGATATTTCTGATATCTCTAGAACTCTACTGGTCTGAAAACCTCTGGACTAGTGTATGTCACTACAGCTGCCATCAGGGACACTGCAAGAGAGCCAGAAAAGACAGCAACATAGTTAAAGGAATATACTTAGTTATCCGAAAACAACTACTTCTGTGGAGTTTCCCATTCCTCAGAAGTATGAACACACAAGGCATTCCTGAATTCATTGAGTACTTACTATATACCAGGCAGTGTGTTAGTACTACAGATACAGTGAACAATACAGACATGGCCCTGCCCCTCCAGAAACTTGCATTCTAGTGGCAGTCACCCAGTAAAAATTTAAAATATTTTTTACATGAAATATATACATCAATTACATATAAACATTGTGTAAATTTCCAGAAATGAAAAACACAAAACGCACAGTTTAGACCCCTTATTTCTAAGAAAGTACTTCTTGGTCCTGTCCCCTAAATTGTAGGAAAGTCTGGGAGTTTTGTGGGATTTTAGAGAGGAACTGATGGTCGCAAAAAAGCCTCCGGAATTTCGAAGAGGAGGAATAGGGAGTGCAGGCAGATTATGAAAAAGGAAAGGAATAATCCTCCCTCAACTGGGCATTGCCCCCCCCCCAGGATTTTAGAGAGGAACTGATGGTCGCAAAAAAGCCTCCGGAATTTCGAAGAGGAGGAATAGTGAGTGCAGGCAGGTTATGAAAAAGGAAAGGAATAATCCTCCCTCAACTGGGCATTGCCCCCCCCCCCCAACCACCACATCTTGGGCCTTGCCCCCCCCCCAAACCACCACATCTTTGTAAACGCACGTGGAGAAAGCTTCAAAGCTGAGATTCAAATGTGTCCCTGACTTCTGAGCATCCCTTTTTCAACCAAAGACAGGGTTGAGGGAGGAGAGAGCTGAGAGGCGGCTGTGAAAGGTGAGTGAAGTTAACCAGGGGGAGACAGGTGCTTCCAGGACTCCAGCCGGCAGCAGACGCCCCCGGGCCGACACGCCTCCTCCCGCAGAGAATTCCAGCACTCGCCTCAGCCCGGAGTTGCCGACCCTCCCGGACCTCCCCCAGAGAGGTGACTCGGCCGGCCCCAGAGCCCCTCTGCACTCCCAGGGCTGGGGAGGAGAGCCCCTTCCCCAGACCCCCTCCACGTTAACCGTGGCCCGACGTCACCAGAGCACAGGCGTGAGGCGGGGGCCGCCCACGAGGGTCATCAGCCAAGCTCAGGCCCAGTGGGGTCGGCACGGGCCCCGCGGGGCCGGGGGCCAAGGACCGCCTCCCCACACCTTGGCACCGCCCGGGAGACGGTGGTCTTGCGGCCCGGCGAACCGCACACCGCCCCAGGCCTCGGG